TGGTGGGGACGATCACCAGCCTCACTGCCTCCTCCCCACTTCTTCTACTACATTTCGTTCAACGGATCACAGTCATGATAAATGATTCGCGCGTATGCTCAGGGTGAATGCAGCAAATTATATGGACAACTAACAAATATTTCTGTAGATCTGGGGACGCTGGCACCTGTAACCAAAACCAAATTTGCTATAGGGGCTCTTTGAAACGCTGATCTGCCGAAGAGTATTTCCACATTCTACAATCGGAGCACCGGCAGTTACCCACTTCTAACTTTTGTCGGAGGAACAGGCAACAACGTTCTGAAACCCGCATTTCTGATATAGAACGCAGGCAGCATAATTTAAGCGAAAACAGCTCATTTGTTGAGCAGATGTTGAAAACTTTCAAACGACGCGACCCCACTACTTTTTACCGCCTAATTTCCAGCCATCTTGAGGACAGGTATTATGCTTTATTTTATAAAATTTCTTTCTCAAATCGTCAGAATACAAAATCAAGACTAAATTAGAGCATGCTAAGGGGGAGATAAGGGAGAGTAGGAAGGGAATGAGGAAGAAGCGGGAGAATGATCAGACTGTGATTCCAGCACTGACCACGCTAAACGATTATACGTTAGAACGGGTATGGCCTTCCGATAGATCTGGAATTGGCGATCCATGCAGGAAGTTGTGGCCTCGGCATTTTAGCTGTTATAAAACCGTGTCCCCGTCACTTCGTGATTCTCTAAAGACGATCCGCTGCCTATCAAGGGGATAGTTTATCTCTGCCAAAGTCATCCTGCTGAGTTCATCTAGGCAGTTCTCTCGGGCGATAGGATGAGCCGGAATGGTTGTTGGGAGTCTACTTCGACGCCGAGAGTACAATGATGACATGGGAACGTTGGCACCGATCCGTGGTCTCCTCGCAGCATTAGCCTGGGACCTGGGACCAACTGATTTTCGTAGCCGTCTCCCATTCGTCACTGACTGAGTGTCCCCTGGAGTTTTGTTTGGTGAATTCGTGTGTGACGAGCCGCTTAAGTTTAGCTCCTGAGTTTCGTCAAGACTCAGGAGATCCCCTGAAGGCCGATTAAATAACACATTCATGTAACCCCGCTTGCTGAGGTGACGCTGCTTTCGAGGCCATTTTTGATCACAAAGGTAATCCAGATCACCTATAAACTGCTGCCAGGAGGAAACCTTCTCTTCCTCCGACAGATGCTCTCTGCCACTCCTCGAGACGCTTTTTGGCGTGGATGACTGATCAGCCCGGCTTTTCGGAGTTATGGGGCTAAGTTTGACCCCATTGGCGGGATGGTGTACCCACGAGCTCTGTCCAAATCTAGTAGTCATCCATCGGGTCATCTGACTCTCGCAAGGGCTCCTCATGGCGCTGGAAGTGTGCCTTCTGTAAGGTGGTGGTTTTCTGGAATCACACTGGGAGAAGTTCCAAACTCGGCCACTGGTTTGGCGTTCCTTTGACGGACTCGCTGTTTTCCTTACAGTCTCCGTGCTGCGAAGTGAAACAGTGTCGTCTGACAGGGGTGTCGCCTTATGGATGGAAATTTTATCCCTATCCTCCAATTTTAATACGGGCATGAGGCTCTCTCGAGCCCTTCTATAAACATGCGGATACTTTTCGCATAGGGTTCTGGGTCGTGGTATACCCGTTTCGAAGCCACGTCTCGGAGGAATGCGAATGAGGGGTGGAAGTGGATTCTCCTTGCTTTGCCTTGTGGCGTTAGCTTCTGGCAGTCGTTGCTGGGCCTTCTCGTCCGGAGAAGGTTCTAGTGGCTTCTCTGAGCACTCTACAGTTTCAGCTTCCAATGCCGTATCCAACTTCTCTTTTGTTTCGACTGTGGTCGACACGATAACTGGCGACCCTATGGGAGTAACGGAGATCAGGCTTGTTGCATCTTTTAGTTTTACTTCTTGCACGTTGATTACTAACTCATTTGCTTGGCCGTCTGAGTCAGATGCGGAGCTGCCATAATCATCCTCAACTTCCTGCTCTTCCTGATCCTCTTCTTTCTGTTTCTGTTGCTGCTGTTGTTGTTGCTGCTGCTGCCGTTGATCCTTTTCAACCTGTTCATCGGTTCTCTGTCCTTCGGCGCCGACAACCGAGATCGTGTGCGCTTCGTCTGGCAGACCACTTGACGGCTTAGTAACGGATGAACCCATTACAGTTCATTCTTGGAAGAACAACTTCAAGCTTACAACAACCTTCGGGCATTTGAACCGTCGAGAAGACAAAAATCGATATGCCCCAGTGCGACAACGACAGAATTGTGGCTCTTCGACCAATCAGACGCCAGCAAGCATCGCGCAGCCGCGTAGCTATAACGACCAATCAGGTCGGCTGACGATGAGGATTCCCTTTTTATTTAATTTATTTGACTTGTTGGATTGTTTCCTCTAGTTTTCCCATTGGCCTTTGAGGAAATAAAAAACTGCCTATCTGATGCTCTACTGATTTGCCAGGCAGTACGTTTCTATCTAACTCGACAAATGGAGGGCTGGTAGTTTTCCGTGCCAAGTTCTGGTATCCTGCTTCATTATACCTACATCTTTGGGCAGGACTGACTTATATGTTTCCCTAAACAGGACACAAGTAATGAGGGTGAACATACGCATGATTCCGGAAAGGGCAAAATATGCCCAACAATAACCCTTATATAAAACTTAACTGTTTTTCTTATCTTGACCCTAACCCTACCCAAAACCTGAACTCTACATTAAGCACTAGCTCCTACCCTAGCCATAAACTTGATACCGACTTATCTGGTCGTTTACTTTAGATCTAGCCTAAAATCTATTCCTTAACCTAACCCTAATTTCACTGGAGGTTAATTTGAAGCAATCCGTATTGCGGACGGTTTCTGTTCTCGTGTCCTTTTTTGGAGAGCCGCATAAGTCAGTTCTGCCCATTTTTATAATAAATATTAACACCACTTTTTGTTCCTGTCTAATTTTAAAAAACCTAGCGTCCAAATGGCAATTCTGGATATGGAGGACTTTAGTGTAACCCCACAAAGTCGTGCTTTTGTCAAAGAGAGTAGGCATATATTCAAGAGTGAATTCGAACACTACTGGAGCCCTCTAGATGCAGACAATTGTCTGGTCACATCTCACCAAACGTGCACATATGTCTGAATGATCGTTAGCTAATATAAATCGGAGTAGAACATTTTTTGCAAACAACAATTTCACATCGGTGTGGTTCACTTTTTTGGTACCAAGCCGGAAGGCTACAGTGCGTTACCTAACTCATGAAATGTGTCGAACTTCACGAAAGATTGCCAATCACTCACAAACCGACACCATTTCTCGAGTCCAATTTCTATGTTAATTAAGTACAAGTTTAAAAGAATTAAAAACTTAAAAGAAATATTAAAAGCATAGTTGCGTTGTTTAGAAATGCCGAGTTATTTTGAAAAGCGCAATATCCCCAAAACATCAGAAATGGCTCTAATTTGGTAAACTTCGTTTTTATATGTGTAGAATGTATTGTCATACCAAAAACGTAGTAAATATGGAAGTAGAGATAAAACAACGTCTAATAAAAGTGTTTCAGTGAAGTTTACATCTAAATTTCGTTTAATAATTAGTGTGATTTCATATATGCCGGTTTGCCAACTGCCTACATTCTGAGTGTAGATTCCAAAACAGTTTTCCAGGGATTCGTGCTATCCTTAAGTCATTTGAGTTAACTGAGATGGGGCTCAACAAAAGAAACTGGATTTTGCTTGATTTCACCGATGAGGACGTCGTAGGAACAAAAGTTTTCATGCTGTGAGGCCGGTTGGTGCCTAATAAATTTGAATAGAACTGACAGGTGTCATCGCAAACATGCCATTTTGTGTTTATAGAGAGAACTTTTCTTCCGTTAAATTAATTTACACTTTTCCTTCGTTTTGGATTATGCTTAGTTTCAGATCGGCCTCGAAATACTGTTGAATACTTCATGATTTTCAGTGTTTTCACCCGATCGTCCGTAAAGACAGATGCGTAACCGGAGTCTTTGACATGTATTAGCATAGGAAATTGCACAAATATATTCAAACGTTCATTTGCGCTAAAATTTACTGATATTTTACTTGATATAATTACGTAAACACAACTTCTACATAAGAAAAGGACACTTCATTGAAGGATGTGGATGGGCGAACAAAATGCGCAAAGTTAAAGACGTCCAGAAATTCTCGCATCAGTTTCCGTTATAAGATTTCATGAGACAGGTCACGTAATGTATTTCCAAGTAGACAGATCCAAACATGTTCGAAATGCCACGGTCCTCTAGCTGAAACTACCTGAAATTTAATCTTTGACGCGTCAAATGGGCCTGGAATAGAAGACAGGTTTGTCCGGTATTTCTGCATACCCAAGAAAGTGTCCTTTGGGGCGACTCTGGTGGATCTATGAGAGTTGCGATGTCATCGGCACATTGAAGGTCTGCAACTAACTCTTGTAGCCAGCAAACTGTTTAAACCTAATTGATTACCTGAAATTGCCAGAATGAAGTTGGAAGAGGAGGTTTTCAGTGACGCGTTAAAATAAGGGACAAATAGCATTTCGTGCTTAAGGGACATCAGAGAACTGAAAACAGAGAAACGCAGTCATGATGCCAATCCTAGTATGCGTAAATGGAGAAAACTGGACTACACAACAACATCGCCCATCACCACACAACACAGACTCAATTGCTGCCTCCTACGCAAATGAAAATTGTGGCTCCTCTGCTGCATATGTGATCCAAATCTGAGATTATGACGGTGCGCCGAGTGCCTTGTCTAGGAAGGCGGACGACTGACGCCTCACCTTAGTCCACGCTGTCACCCCCAGCTGCGTGTTTATCTGTGCGGAATAGCGAACTGGTGGTCTGAGAGTCAGGCTGCCACGACTCCTTCCTAAACTGACGCCTGGCACTCCCACACATGTGTGGAGCGTGTGGACATGTAAGTAGTCCCTCTTAATCGATGACTGGCTGGCTACCCTGCGTCTGAAAGATGTTGGCCCAAGCTTGTGGCAGTCCGCACCTCCTTGCTCTCCGCCGCTTTGTCACGTTGCCTTCCTGCCTGCCTCACGCTCCCTGTTGGTTCGCTGTTGGGACGCACAAGGCTTGTCACTAACCTCGCGAGTGCTCGGGACCAATCAACGCTGCCCCCTTCTCTGATTGGCTGGCGACACTGAGGCAGAGCGAACGGCACACACGTGTAGGGGTCTAAGCATCTCACCGGCGGACACAGACAAGAACAACTTGCCTGGAGAGACCGCTCGCGGCGATTGCTTGCAGCGCCTTCGTGTACGCACTTTCTCGACGATTAAAAATGTCCAACCTAATTCGTACTCCCTGACTTCTGATTTAGAAACCTTTGCCTTGACCACACCATCCAGACAGGTCCAGTGCAGAGCTGTGTGTCATCCTTCTCGGTCTTAAGGTTTGTCAGCATCTTTTGTCATTATTCACCAAACCGTGGCTCTCGCAGTCTGGTGTGTCCTGGCAGTTCTCTGGTACCCGGTTCCCTGCTGATAGATGCGTTTGCGCTCGTGCTAGGTAAACAGGTCGTGAGCATGGCTGCCCACTCATCCTCCTATTTCTGCCTCGTTGTTGTGCTGTTGTTCGTTGAAGTTCTGGTCAAGTGTTTGTTGTGAACCAGGAGGTGTGGTGACACGCCTAGGTGCGGGTCAGGCCGCGTCACCCACTGCGCCTTCTCCCGCCTCCGGTCTTCTTGGCTGTGACGTGACACCGGGCCCAGGGGGAGTTGGGAGAGTGCAGTGGATGCTACGCAAGTCTAAATTCCCCATAGACTAACTCACGCGCAGGTCACCGCCCCTGCTTTACCCTTCTGTGGAGCTTACGGTAGGCATCGTCGGACACGACGCTTCGACTGTCAAGTGGCAGGTTTTTAAAGAAGCCATCTGAACCATTAACTGACGAACAGAACACTGAATAAGACATTTGGAAGTCCGATTGGGAAATCCATTGGCCGACTGGGCATAAAACTCCGGTCTCCAGGGTGCCATAGCATCACTGGCTCCCGCTTACTGACATATTTTTCACGTAATTGTAAACACACATTGGTAAGGATAGGCTTTGTAGTCCCATTAGGTTTACTATGTGTAGCTAACTACTATATTTGTTTTAGTAGGCTCTTTTTAACTTATCAAATCATTGCCACAGGAAGGCACTCCTTGAGTTTTATCCAACACGCTAGTATAACCAATATGATTTTTGGTGGAAAATCATTTGGCATTAGGCGGTCTTCGGTTTCCGTCACTCTCTACGCAATCCGTCTCTCCCAAATGAGTGACCATACCTTTTTGTATCATGTCGGCATTCATCACACGACGCATGCTGTAGCGATTGTCGACTGCGTTTTAGTTGACCTTTCCTCGGCTAGAGCACAAACTCTCGGCTTTCGGACCCCATCTTATGACCCCGCCTCTTTTGACTGTGTGCCCATAAGCTAAGATCATCAAATGAGCGTCTGTGTGTTAATTTCGCTACATATGTGGTCAGTCCGTCATACGTGGGACTGAGTTCTGTCTTCTTACGGATGGCACGGATTATGACCCAACATGCTCATCGGAAAACAGTTTACTGCTTAATTGGTGTAAATCAGCACGGTGTGTCCTACTCCTGGTTCTTTTGACATTCTTTCCATCCATGTGTCTGCTCTCCGGTACCCGGAAAGTATCCCGTCTTCCAACCTCCCATTCTTCCTCCACCTTTAATACCTTTTCTGATAAAGTTAATATACCTGTTCATTGCAATTGACGCTCGCAAGCCTACCGGATCCCTCAGCCTTTAATCCGATGATTTATAAATGCTTGTATTCTCCTTCCCATCCGTTATTCTTCTCCTGCTACTGTCTCTGGTTTGCCAAAAGAGGATGTGACCATTTTAAAGGGCGTCTTTCACCTGATGGCGGTGTTTTTTTAGTCGATGCCATAGTATCACGACACTTTGTAACAGTCGAACAATTTACCAACTGGATTCTCCATGACGTTGATGTCCAACCCGGCGCGGCTTCACTGTGTCTCCTGCCGTATCACAGTGTAGTAACGCTCAGTTATGCCTTATTTGACATGTTCTCTGGTAGTGTTATGGAGGAGAAACCCAGAAAATGAGATTACGCGTGTAACCACAATAGGTTTGCCGTTTTATTTCAACTTTTTAA